CATACTGTCTCTCGTTCGTCCACTGAGGCTGAATATAGGGCTTTGGCTATTGCTGCTGCTAAACTTGCATGGATCAGACAGTTTTTCTGTGATCTGCACGTCTCATTACATGTTCCTCCTTTAATTCATTGTGATAATATCTCTGCTATTGCTCTCTCTTCCAACCTAGTGTTTCATTCCCGAATGAAACATCTCCAAATTGATTATCATTTTGTCAGAGAACGAGTCATTCAAGGTGATTTACTTGTGCAACATGTCTCATCTGTGGAACAATTTGCTGACATTCTCACTAAGGGGCTGTCTATTCCTTTATTCCAGCATCATTGTTCCAATCTCATGCTTGGCTCCTCCAAGCATGAGATTGAGGGGTCAGGTAAAGATATCAACGGTCCTCACTCTACCACATGTCAGAAGATTGACGAAGAGAGTTGTTGAAATATTGTTAAGACTGTTAAACAGTTTTTAGCAAAGGAGTTAGTGTTCTGTTAGAGAGGTTAGGAGGTTAGAAACATATATACAAAGCTTTGATAAGCTAGTATAAAAACCATTACTGTACTGTGTTGAGTTAATCAATGAATGAATACATCAGTTCTTCTCCTAAGTTTTTCTGCTTCTCTCTGTTAAATCTCCGTTCAATATTGCTATTCTGACAGTAAGGTCTCATGTCCATACTGAGCGGTGATTGCTCATCCCTCACCTTATTTAATTTTTCAGTTGAATTTATGGGCAAGACAAGGACTAAACCAGTCGAGGCTGATTTATATAAGAATGATAGAGCTGGAGCTATTTTTATAAGAGAAGTTTATTTTAAATTCATGTTTCGTCTTTTATTTATTTTATTTTAGTTTTTATTTTTTCACGCACTGGGCGCAGGGTTTCCATCGACCCTTGGGTTTGGGGTGTGACATGTAGTAAGGAGAAATTATTGAGTGCTGCTATTTTCATCTATTTTTCTATTTTCTCTTATCTTCAAAATTTTAAAGATAAATTTACCTCTTTCTCCCTCATCTTGACGAAACCCCAACCGGCCCACCATCCAGCCACACATCCGAACCCCACCTCCTCTCTTCCTCCTTTCTCTTTTTACCCCTCCCTCTGCAAC